TGCATTTATTTTGGTTCAAAAATAAATCTGAAAGCCTTTTTATGACTTTTTTAATAATTGGTCGCTCTTAGCATTTAGAAAAAATAATTGGGTGTCGAAAAACACGTAAATGAATTCGCCTGTTTAAATAACTAAATCATACGTTCTGCATTTTCCGAAGAAAATATTTTACACGTGAATGCGATGGAATTTTAACTGAAATCAAAAGGAAGAATCCTAACGTAAAATTTCTGAGCAACAATTCAAACAGGTATTTTGAAACTATGTGCATTATAGCTAAAATTTTTAATATTATGACGGTATCAGGTACATCTAGGAATTGTTTGACAAATACTTCAAAATTGCCCACATTTCACAGAACGTGCGAATAGATCGATATTTTTCATATATCTTTTGAATTCGCTTTTATAGTTAACAATAATGCCATTTATGACGTTCATAGACGAAATAAGAGACATCATTTCAATATTATATGTAGACAGAAAATAATTTCTTTCATTCGTAACATACGAATAAAAACTGTCATACAGAGTGATGATCTTAAAGGTCGTTATTTGTAACGTAGGTCTAATTAAGTCAATGTATTGTTAATAAAATTGTGCTCCCGTGTCTGAACATTTCTTTATTTAAGACTCATTCAATTCACATTTTCAGAAAGATTAATCGCATACAGTAATTTTTTAGGTGGTTATATATATACTGATATACTCGTACTACCATTAAATATAAGTATACTCGTACTACCATTAAATATAACCATTTCAACATGACACGTATTTTCGATCTCGATAAATTCTTATTTTGTATTTGCCTATTCTCTGTGAATATTAAAGTAAAGAGAAAGACATTAATACAGAGGTGAATATTTTTACGGCGGCAGTTATTTCTCTGTTAAAACCACTTATCTTCATATTGGAATAATTTAAATTATACTAATTAAAGAGTATCATTTCAATACAATTACACAATATAAAATTACTAATGGTGGTAAGCAAATTAAAAAAAACGCATATTTTAAACTTAAGAGTTATGATACTAAAAGTTTGCATTTAAAGCAAATTTAGAATTAATAGTTCAACTGAAGTCATCTTTAAAAAATAATATCATCTTTAAAAAGTTTGTTTAACTTTAATACTTTAATAAAAGTAACAAAATACAGCACCGCGATTAGTAACACGCAGTTCTACTTTCCTCAATTTCTATCAAAACCGGAGACCAAGTATAGGGGCCTCATGTAGCATAAATCAAGCAGCGAACACAGTTTCAAAACGCTTATGTCGTGAAAATGTTCCATTGTTTTACTTTATGCCTGAAATTTTTATCTCTATCTTCGTCGTCGTGTTTACGAATATTCATCGGGTCTACATCCAATCAATAGTAATACACTCGTACAATATCAACAATATATATCCGTCACAATTTTTATCAAAGTCGTAATTGTGTCAAATCCAAGACGTTCGGTTTGATTCACCAAAAAATTATGAACAAATTAGGGCTTTTGATGGCCTATACTTTGGGCTTATGCCATGCAGATAATTACATAGATACCATATGCCGTGAATTTAATATCACAATTTTAATCAAACACCGGCGCACAGTGAGTAATATGTTAATTTTTATGAAAAAAAAATAAATTTCAGGCAATCACTTTTACCTTGCAAGTCGATGGTTTGAACATGCTAAAGCTTTTAGATTTTATTTTCATGTTATGGGGACCGGGTTTTAGTGACCCATCGAAAGGCATTCCATAAGCAGTGTTACGCTTCATAAAATTTTCCTTTACGATCTTCAGTAAAACCTTGACCGTTCAGATCTCGGTTAAAAGCCCCTAAGAATAAAAAAATCCTCATTGTGATTGGCTCTAAACCTGTCACGTTTTCTAGGCATTTGAGACCGCAGTTCGGGCCCAAAATTTACGTTGTTGTGGTCCCGCGCAGCAGGTTCACACGAAAATAAATAAAAAAGATAATTTTTTCGTCGAAAAAAAATATGGTAAAGTTTCAAGCCTTAGCGGATCTAAATATCGACAATTGCATTCAGCGTTTTCGTGTTCCCGCGCGAACCTTTTTCAATTTTCGTGGTCCCGCGCAGCAGGTTCACACGAAAATAAATAAAAAGTAAAATGGTAAATTGTTTCGCCGAAAAAAGTGTGCTAAAGTTTCAAGCCTTAGTGGATCAAAATATAGACAATTGCATGCAGTGTTTTGTATAAAAGTTTTCTATGAAAAGTGTATTCTTCAATAATATCCATACCTAGAATTCGGGACAAGTGGAACTTTGTGAACAATTTGCATTTATCTAACCATACATTAACGGTAAATTATTGACGTTCGATTTGCACTTGGTTTCCAATGATTTTATTATCAAAACAGCAATGTATAGTCAATATTAAAATACGTATAAAATATATAGTGAATAAATAAAATACAAAAACGAAAGAAAACTCAGCACTGCTCACTTATGTTTTAGTAAATTCATTATTCACACAATTAATAAATAATTTGGGCTTCATTCATCTCTCATTCAGTCGAACTATTATGTCTAATTAAAAAAGTAGTAATTTTAATTGAATAACGCAGATTTTGGTATATAATGAATGCACGAAATCTAGTATATTAATCCTCATATTACGCAAGGGCAGCTATACATGCTCAGGAAAATGCATTGAAATTGATTATATTTTTGAATGATAAGAAAATTCATTGATTCATAAAATAGTTGGACAATTGTTAAATGTGCAAATGCAGGATAAAAACTGAAACCAATTTTAAAAGTACACAAAGATCAAAAGTAGGGTAACATGGGGCAGCGAGCCCACTGCGGGTCACGGGCCCATAGCGGGTTTCTCGCTAAGTATGGCAGATTTTGGTCCGTGTTCTCTACCGCCGGTCGACAGTATCACTGGGATGAAGTGTACGGATTTACGTTTTGCTAAGTGTTTGCGTTATTAAGTTCTTTGCGAATAACTGTTTTAGTCCAGATAAAAATTTTTTTGCCGCTAAATAAAGTTTNATTTATTTGAGTTTAGCCGTGCGTTCCCTGGCCAAGAAATAAATGCTGAGTTACCAGTTCCTCTAAGGAAATAATTTAACCAACACTCTGATATTCGACACCTGGACTGGGAGCGTCGCTTGACTGCCAAATATCGGGGATATTTTTCTAAGCTCTGCGACGCCCAATTTAGGAGCTGCTGGCCTCCGTCTTTGAGATGCCGCGAAAAACATCCGTTGTGTTTCGCCCAATTAGTCTCAGGAAATTTTTTTCCTCGAAAATTAATCAAGAAACTTGTACGAATAAAAACTATGCAATTGTTAGTCGCACAATTAACGGCTTTTCCTTGTCAAAATTCTTTCATAACTTTGCAGGTGCTTTCTTCAGCGATATTGAGACACGACTTATTTGCGACGAATGATGTAATCAATCATTGTACCATTTTGGAAAATAACTCGCATGAAAACTGACATATATAACTCAACCTCGATTAAGAGCTTTTCTATGTTTATGAGCTTTTCTGCTTAGAAGAAATCATGAATATATGCCACGTCAAGAATTCAATGATACACAGCATATTTTCCGCGAATTATACAGTACAGGCATTGTTACTTTAGATGTCTTTTATTTGAAATCAAACTCGTGATAATTAAAGATGCATTAATTGATCCAGATAAAAGGATGAAAAACAGTTAAAACACAAAATTAAAAACTTTTCTTATCCTGTAATCTTTTTGGCGACCAATTTTCCAACAATTTTGTCGAAAAATCCTGCCTTCTTGGATTTAAAGGATGGCTCTTCTATAACAGGAACAGCAGCCACAGCCACTGGGTGGTAAACGACTGGTTGCACATGGTGGAAGACGACTGGTTGCACGACCGGTGTTTCGATGACACCTTTGCCACCGAATCCAACTTTCTTTAGCCCTTTGCCAAGAACAAGTCCTCCGAGTTTGATTTTCTTGAGAACCTTAGCCTTTGTGAGGAGAGTAGGTGCTCCATCGCTCTCCGGGAGCACCAGGAGAGCCAGCATCAGAGCCACCATCACGAATCGTACCTGCAACACACGCAACAGCTCATCAGAATACTGGAGGGTAGCTTCAGCTATCGCAATCATTTAGCGTTTAGTGACGATAAACACGCTAAAGTATTGGCAGAAATCAAAAATTAATATTAAGCAAAGTTAATAAGCGAGATTTACACTTTTTTCAAAAGCCAAGAATTAAAATATTGAACTTTAGAGCGATAAACACGCTAAAGTATGAACAGAATTCCATAAATTATATTAAACGAAATTAATTTTCAAAATTTGTGAATTTACCCTTTTGAAAACACTAGGAATGAAAAATTTCAACATTGAAGCGAGAAGTATTTAGTGAAGATATATGCTATAATAAATAACTAGAAATAATTTTTGGTATAAAAATGAGCACAGAGATCCAATACAGGAAGGCACCATATACAAGGTTGGAGAATTGTCATGGACAGAGAGCAAAGGGTTTGGTATTCATTCCAAAGAATGTATGATATACAAATTTTGTAATGTAATTTAAGGAGAAGATTTAAGCAATGATTGTTACTTAAATGAAAAAGGCATTGTGTTCGTTATTCAGGTTCAATTCATTTGTTTTAAATTGGTATAAACTTGCACTGAAAATTGATCTTAAATTTAAATTAGTTCTACTTGTAATAGGCTGCGTAACTGGTATTCTCGAAGGTAAAGAGTAATATGTACATAATATAGGATTAAAATGGCTAATGAATATATAACACTTATTTATTTTCACGGTACCAGTTTCCCAATAATAACCAAAAAATTTGTTAGATTTTCATACAAATTTCGTTCAACTTGGATATATCGAATAAAAGCTCCATTATTTAAATTACAATAATTTTGTCATCTATGGACTTATAGAATCAATTATAAATTCCAAAAAAGTAACACCTTAATATTTTAGTTACTTTTTTCAATTAAGAGATGTGCAAATTTTCCATGTTGAATCTGAAAATTTGAAGCCGGAGCAAAAGGAATTTTAAAATGTGCTGTACATTTAGTAATGTATAATGGATTATTGCAAAAATTTAGCCCACAACATAAATAGACCATTTAAACCTAACTTAATTCTATTACTTCGAAAAATAATTATTTTTTTAATATTAATAAAATAACTAACGGATACGAGAGTAAATGAAAGTTCAGTACTAATTTGATAGCAATTAAAGTTAAAGCTTTGCAGAAAAAAACGCTATTTTCCAATTATTACTGCCCTATTTAACTAATTATTACCGCCCAAGACAACTAACATATTACCGCCCAATTATTACAGGGGAGTACAAGTAATTATTGCCGCAAATACAGGTAATTATTACCGGCCAATACAACTAACTATTACAACCCAGTACTACCAAGTATTACCGCGGAATACAAATAATTATATAATTATTGCCGCCAATACAGGTAATTATTACCGTCCTATACAACTAACTATTACCGCCCAATACTACAAAGTATTACCGCGGAATACAAATAATTATTGCCGCCTACAGGTAATTATTACCGCCCAATACAACTAACTATTACAGCCCAATACTACCAATTATTACCGCGGAATACAAATAACTATTGCCGCCCAATATAAGTACAGTATATAGGTCTGAACCTAATTTTAGTTTGTCAGTCCCTGTCCATAGCAAACCCAATATTTGAGCTCAGAAAGCACTCACGCGATGGTATTATTAAGACAATAAATTTGTGGCAAATACCAAGTTGACAATAAATTCAATTTGACTTGCACTTTCATTCATCTGAGTGACGTTTTCGAACATTATTTGCAATTACATTTTTCATTAACAGAAAGGCGCACGTAACTCAGAAAGTAATCTTTATAACAACAACGGAACATAAGGATTGATTTTGTCGTAACAGTTGTCTCATGATTGGTGTTTGGTGCATACTTTTACATAAAAATAGCGATTATTTCATTTCTTACAGAAGGATTCCAGTTTCCAGTTAATAAAACGTTCTTCTATTCAAAGTGATAGCACTGCTTCAAATACACAGGAACTTTCAAAGTGAAGATTTTATATGGCTTTCCATTAAGATTAGACTGCACACGGTAGGTACATTTAGTGGAATCGAAATCGCATATCCCAAAAATAACCTTCATATGAGAATTTTTTTAATTAAACGTACTTTCATAAGGCAGCGAGGTTTTGCCTGGGACTCGTTACGAATATTTGGGAATCATAAAGCGGCTCGATACTCAAACAACTCACTAATATATAATAATAATATATTATCAGTTGGGTCGCATTCAAATTAACTAAATTTTGATCTTTTAGCTCCAGTGGCACTGGGTTCATTATAAGTTTCATGAACAGTAATTCTATGACTGTTAACGCATGATTCGTGTTGTACATGAAGTCATAATTCGCCAGTAATAATTTGATAATAATTGTATGCGAATGTGGTTCATCAATGCTGTCCATATCGTTTTATTGTTCAAGTCACCATGCTTTTCCTCACGAACCGTAGCCCATACGGCTACGATATTCACGATAACAGCAAATTTATTTTGCTTTGTTTCTTGAGGATGAGATCCTACGTAAACTTTTATAAGATTGAGATAAGACCTCATTCCAGATTAAATCTAGTTCATCTCCTTATTTAACAGTAAGGGAAACGTTTCGTAAGCGGGCGGATTATTGATATCGTTGATGTTATCTGATGTGACCGCAGCCACGACGATGTCATCAATAACAATATGATGAACCCCAGAGAAACACAACAAACACGTTATTTGGAATTAAGTTGACTAGAAATTTAATAAAAATATTCGAATTCATATTCTTAAGGAAAGATTATCAATTCTGGATATTATCAATCGATCAATTCACGGCTTCAGAATACAATCGCTACTGGGAAAGCATTATACTTTCCGCAAGTGATGGCCACGATCTCGATATGTCGTCCTTCCACAAATGTCTTATATCTTGTTTATTTGCTTGAATGATAAAATTTAATATTATTCAATTTGTATTTGCTTCTATTTTATATCGCAGATACAAAAAGAATTTCAGATCATAATTCAAACACTTATGTTGAAGGGCAGTACGGAAAGTGGTACTGAAGTTTAACGGATATGCAAAGACTACAAATGATTATAATTTCTCATGAATTATGTTTGATGTATGTAACCAAGATGGAATATATTCATTTGCTAGCTCAATTTGGACCTAATTATAAACGACTTGTTGGTGACATGAATTATTTGTCGGTTATTTAAGGTTGTAGTCACACATACCTCTTTAATT